TTAAAAACTCAAATGTGACCAAACATGTTCATTCATGCATTTACCAATACCAACATGTTCCATAAAGCATGAAAAGGTAGTAATGTATTATCTCAATTTCCGTGCAATACTAATCGACCATTAAATTCCATTCGAACGCCTTCGATCCTTAATTCAACTTCCAATAATTCCTCAAATACATAACAATAGAAATTTCATAAAAAATGGGACTTAATTTCGAAAAACGAATCGAATACTAAAATCAGGGACTAAATCGAATAAATTTAAACTATTTAACTAAAGATAAAATTATGTAAACACTTATGAACAAGGTTAAGTTCTCACCAATTTCAAAGGACTGAGCCTGCGATTTTTCCTTTTTTTCTACCTACTTTCCATATGACTTTACTATTCAAATATAAAATCATTTTTTCTTTTCTTTCCCAGCTTTTTCCTTTCTTTATTTCTTTCTCTGCAACTGGTTCTTTAACGAAATGAAAACCAAAGATGAAACAAAGCATGTCGTTGTGATTCCAAGGTACAATCCGCACAGATGCATTGAAAATCCTAGCCCCATCAACATGAAGCTTCAAGTCGTGCTTCTTAGCTAGCTCACCAACTTTGTCTATGTATTCTACAGACAAACCTCTACCCCTAGTGTTTGCATGTGAATTCTCCAAGCAAACCAGCCTCGTGGTTGGGTAAACAATCTCTCCTCTCGGATCTCTAATGGTGGCTTTAATCGAATTCACGTTCATAGTTCCATCATCATTTTTATTCACTAGCCTAGGATGAACACCTCTAATAGTTGAAATTCAACCATTCTCATAAATACGTATATGAGAATTAACTCCAAGAATGACCTCACTTTCCCTTATATCACAGTGAACTGGAACACTAATGAGGTTACCCATTGTGCCTGATGGAACGAATAAACCAACTTCTTTGCCCATGATTATTACAACCTCTAATTCTAACTGGGGCTGCAGTCAGATCAGCACCCAAGACATCATTATCAACTTCAGCAGTTTCCATTGCATCCCTCATTGCCTCGGTAGGTTTCGTGACAGTATCGAATCGAATATCTACTATTCTGGTCACCATTGTTATCAAGTAGAACACTATTTTGAAACCTCTCCAGATTCTTCTTGATTTCTTTTCCTTTGGAATAATAAGCAGAGCTTTTGTGCAAATAAAGAATAAGAAATGGCAAGGAAGGTTCACTCAGTGATTTAAAAAAAATTATGTAAAAAGGAAGTGATGATAAAAACTTTGGAACTTTACACGCAGAGGCAACTCTTCCCACTTGTTATTCTCCATTTTCCATATTAAAATAATAATAATAATAATCAGATTCACATAATTGGGGAGTGTCAATTCTTCCCTCCTTAAAAGAATTTAATCCTCGAAATTTATTCATGTCACATTATTGCATAAATGGAACTTCCATCAGTTCTTTCATATCTTCAAGTAGCTTTTACAGAAGTATCAATCCTCTACTAATTCTTAACCAGTTAAGTATACATTCTTATCAGAACTTTTCCTCATTTCAATAAAAGAATCCGAATGAAAATTTCCTTGAGGAATTAATTTAGTCTTGGTTACGAGAATAGGCTCATAAAGCAATAGCATATCCCAATTTCATTTCCAGAATCAGGTCAGAATTTCTCAGATGAGTAACTCTAACATGGCTCGTGTGGTACTTTACAGAATTTAGATAAACGTTACTGATATTTTTTATTAAATGATAGAGTCCTAACGGATAAAATTTAAGTTTGCTCATTACAAATAGAGTCTCAATCTTGGAGTTCCGGCTCAGAAGTACAATTGTAGTCTAGGGGCATGTACTGATCAGACATTTTTTAAAATACGACCGGTCGGTCTATCTTAAAAAAATTGACTAAACTATGGCTCTGATACCACTAAATATAACCCTCTCAGATGGATGCGAGTAACCCGATCTGACCTGTAGTGTCACATTAGGGCCACCGGAGTGACCCACCGTAAAAATAATGGAAATTTTAAAACTTTTATTAAAATGTATAAACTCATAAAATGATTTATCAATATTCAGAAATAAATAGATTTTCAGACTCGTATATAAAACAAAGTACAATTACATGCCCCCTAATCACATGTACCATACTCTGCAACAACGCCAGAAGAACTTATTTACTAACGTCGATAGATATACTGGTACGATTCTTTTAACCTGAAAAAGTGAGTAACATAGTGAGCTTTGGAAAGCTCAGTAATACAGAACTACCAGATGATGCTGAATAACGTGTAGATATAAATAAACATATATTTCCTTATTGGTTCCGAACATCTACAGGTTTTTATGCTGAGCGGAGATCTTACTAATATTTCAGGTGGTAAAGGACAATGAGCTTTCAATTCAGATAAATATTTCGAATGACTGAGTTCAGGAAATCAGAATAGGTTATCTAGTGTGTTCCCGTAAAACCAGTAAAAATATACAATTCTTTTCAAAACAGTAACATTTTAAAACATATTTACCATATGCACAAAGTAGAGAAGCATGTAAAAACGGTAAGGTCTTACCCTTGCACATAGCAAAAAAACCTAGGGAAATTGTCAGGCCTACCTTTGCACACAACAAAGGAACATGGGGAAACCGTAAGGCTTACCCTTGCACATAGAAAAGGAACCTGGGGAAACTGTAAGGCTTACCCTTGCACACAACAAAGAAACCTTTATACAAAAATATGTCGATTGATCTAATTATCGAACAACTCGAGATGAACAACTCCCATAACTAATGCTTGTCGACTGGTTTATTCAATGTCCTCCCATGGTTTTACTCTTTAATAACAAATTTTTGTCCATTGATCATCTTCAGAATCATTGACGAATAAATCTTCCAATGTTCTTTATTTCATTTCCACGTTGCAACGATACCATAAAATGCTAACGTGTTTGATTTATAGTCCATGGCCCATAAGGACAGTACATCATGTAAGTTCATTAGCATTCTCAGACTCATCCAAATCACTTATTTAATCATCAGTCATTGAGCTTACTTAGTTCACTTAATAGTCAAGTCTATCCTGATTACTTCAGAGTTTTCCATTGTAATTCAGATATTTCTGAATTTCGGATACATATTGTACTTCTATTCAGTTCAATTTGGTCTTCTTGGTTGATTTGTCTAACGAATATCCACTTCGTACCGAATGCGATCTAGAGTCGAGGTGAGCTGAGTAGTTCCAAAATTATCATCGAGCCAAACTTGAGTAGATGAACACGCATTAAAGTAATATCTATGCAGTTCAGGCACTGACATATAATTAAAGTTGATCAACTCACTTAAGTTATGTTCCATAACTTTTAAAGATAGTCCAACACTTATGCTTATTTGGATTCCTTAATTAATCCAAGACATTTACTTATTATAGGCAGTAAGGGTATTTTGGTCATTTTGGTGTTCAATTTTATTCCATTCATTACAGAGCTCAAGGATAACCAATCATTCCTGAGCTTAGTGATATTCTTGGATCATTTCCATTACAGGGGTATTTTGGTCATTTTATAGATCCAATGTATTTCAATCTCTTTCTTCCGTCCAGTCCTAATATTTAATTCACACTTATCATATACTACAGTCCTTTCAAATAATTCTGATAAAAGAGAACCATCGATAAATTATTCTTCAGGTATTTACTTATATCTCGAAGATTTTTGAGTCAAGTGCTTTTCAGATTTTACAAACGGAATATTAGAAATTTTCTGTACAAAGACATGATCTTAACCATTAAATTTGTAATTTATCGAGTTAAGTATGAATCCTCAAAGTACTTTCTCATTCAGAGTTAACTCGGACTATTTTTACCTCTCAAGGGCATTTTTATAAATTCTTAATCAGATAACTTCGGTATTAACTCTTAACCATATTTTTTAAGCAAAACTAGCATTTTCTATGCACATCTATAGTTCCATCAGATCAATATGTTTTTACAAATTCTTATCCAACTTTCTGGGTCAATTCTTGTATTTTTACAACGTAAGGGTATTTTCATAATTTTAACCAACCAGAGTATTCTCATAATTTCTCGTTCAAGTACCTTTAACATTTAACCTTTGTTTATATATAAAATATAAGCTACATATCCAGGGCTGATTCATGTATCACTAATCACAGAACTTGTAATTTAATTATAACAATCCCTCAATTTCTTATAATAGTCATCCAAGCCGTATTCAGTTACCGAATTTCTATCGCTTTCATGTCGAGTGTATGAATTAATTAAAAACTCAAATGTGACCAAACATGTTCATTCATGCATTTACCAATACCAACATGTTCCAAAAAGCATAAAAAGGTAGTAATGCATTACCTCCATTTCTGTGTAATACTGATCGACCAAACGCCCTCGATCCTTAATTCAACTTCAAATAATTCCTCAAATACATAACAATAGAAATTTCATAAAAAGCATGGCTTAATTTCGAAAAACGAATCGAATCAGGTGATTAATCAGTGAAAAACAACTTACCAACTAAATTTCTAGCTTCAAATCTTTTTCTCAAGAACCCAAACCTTCAAATATATGAACCCAAATCCAAAATAATTTCCTTCTCCATAAAAAACTTATTAGAATTAAAAAGTAATTTAAAGGCCCAATTGCTAAAACTAAAATCTTGTGGGCCACTATACTATTTAATTTACTAAAATCAGGGACTAAATTGAATAAATTTAAACTATTTAACTAAAGATAAAATTATTTAAACACTTATGAACAAGGTTAAGTTCTCACCAATTTCAAAGGATTGAGCCTGCGATTTTTCCTTTTTTTTACCTACTTCCCACGTGACTTTACTGTTGAAATATAAAATCATTTTTTTCTTTTCTTTCCCAATTCTTTCCTTTCTTTATTTCTTTCTCTGCAACTGGTTCTTTAACGAAACGAAAACCAAAGATGAAACAAAGCATGTCGTTGTGATTCCAAGGTACAATACACACGGATGCCTTGAAATTATAGCCCCATCAACATGAAGCTTCAAGTATACTTCTTAGCTATCTCACCAACTTTGTCTATGTATTCTACAGACAAACCTCTACCCCTGGTGTTTGCATGTAAATTCTCCAAGCAAACCATCCTCGTAGTTGGGTAAACAATCTCTCCTCTCGAATCTCTAATGGTGGCTTTAATCGAATTGATGTCCATAGTTCCATCATCATTTTTCTTCAATGGCCTAGGATGAATGCCTTGAAAGGTTGAAATTCCACCATTCTCATAAATACAACCACTTCCCCTTATATCATAGTGAATAAGAACACTAATGAGGTTACACATTGTGCCTGATGGAACGAATAAACCAACTTCTTTGCCCATGATTATTACAACCTCTGATTCTAACTGGGACCGTAGTCGGATCAACACCCAAGACATCATCATCAACTTCAACAGTTTCCATCGCATCCCTCATGGCCTCGGTAGTTTTCGTGACAGTATCGAATCGAAGATCGACTGTTCTAGTCACCATTGTTATCAAGAAGAACAATGTTTTGAAACCTCTCCAGATTCTTCTTGATTTCTTTTCCTTTAAAAAACCCATATTTTTCTCTCTCTCTTGTTGTAGGTGTTTTAGGGCAGAAAGAGTAGAGCTTATGTACAAATAAAGAAGAAATGGCAAGGAAGGTTCACTCAGTGATTTGAAAAAAATTATGTGAAAAGGAAGTGATGATAAAGACTTTGAAACTTTACACACAGAGGTAACTCTTTCATGTTGGAGTGGTTGAACAACTTTTCCCACTTGTTATTCTCCATTTTCCATATTAAAATTATAATAATAATAATAATCAGATTCACATAATTGAGTGTGACACACACGCTATGTCGATGACTTAGTGATACATTAAACTCATAAAGAAAACCCTAATTACTAAATCAAGCATGAATATTTTATGTTATCACATCATACAACTCATATATGTCCCGAAGGACCACGTAGAACATATATGTCCCGAAGGACCACGTAGAACCCTCGACTCTTCGCTTGCCAACTATACATCTAGCTCTCAAGACACATAACATGGGTATTATCTTTTATCATTTCACATATTCATATAAACATATCACATAAGCACATAATCTCATAGATTCTTTCAAATAACTCATTGTCACATTTTCATATGATCACGTAGTTCATATCCCATAGAGCTCATAACTTTTCTCATATAATCCCTTATACAGTATCGCATATCTTACACTTAAATATCTTATGTTCACAGATATCATATAATTTCTTTAACTTGTAGTTTAAATCACATGTTCAATCTCTATCATATAACTTATTTCATATTCATCATATGGGTCAATCCTACTTTGTTTATCCCACTTTTCATTTATTCGCTTAAATCTAATTCATATAATTGATACATTATCATCATACAATTACATATACCCATAGCACACGAAATCACATATAACACCTATAACTCTATTCATGTATTCATGCATACATAATAATCATATCACCCATATTAACATTCATAGAATCATGCAATCAAATATTGGAAATAGTCTCATTACGAGTCTTATTTCCATACATATCATATACTAATGAATATGCACTCACCTTGCCTCACTAGTCAATATCAAATCCTTATCTCTTCTTGATGGCTATTACTTGACACTTTGTCTGGACATTGCTCTCGATTGATATCTACACAATCACACATATGATATAAATATCAGCATTCCAATTGGCATACTCTACTCTTTCATTTTTTTAAACTAAAAGAAATATCTTTTTCTATTTTCCCTTTGAAGTGTATCGATACACACTATAGGGTATCGGTACATCCCTTCACTGGTGTATCGGTACACAAATTTCATTCAAAATTTTCATTTCAAGGGGGTATCGATACACTCCTTGATGTATCGATACACCATGAAGATGTTCTTCAAAATTGGTCTTAGTGTATCGGTCCATGTTCATAGGGTACCGATACTCCCTGCCCATACTTTTTGACTCCAAACCTACTTAATTCTTCTTCCTTAACCTTCTTTTAACCCTTGAGACTCCACTATACTTACACAAATCAACTTATTTCACTTTAAATCTTCATAACATCCCATATCCCACAAACATGCTTGGATTCAATAATTAAACCAATAAATCAATATGTTCCAAATTCATTTCTATCATTCCAAATTTCTTAGTTTAGTTGATGACAAGTCAATTTTCACTTTAAAACTTATTTACTAACCCAATCTCAATAATTCCCTTAAAAACTCTTTACCTTCAATTTTACATAACTTAATCCTCTTTGAGTTTTAAGTCCTCTTAAGCTTTCCTTAATCTTTTCTGTCACTCCAAGAATCAAAACCAACTTTAAAACGAAAGAATTAACCAATTGGAGACCAACTTACCTTACCAATGGAGCCACAGGAGAGAAAAGGAAGAAGATAACCCAATGCTCCAGAATTTTTTTCAATTCTCCAAGTGTTTGATTCTCTTATAAAGGGAAGATAAAATATTTCCTTTGAAAATACCATTTTACCCTTATTACTTTCAACTTCACTATTAAATCCAACATCAAAAATTCTCCAATTAAATCCCTGAACTTTTAACTTACTTTAAAATTGAACACAAAACTTTCAAAATTCACATTTTAGTCACTAGCTCTGATTTTGGTATGTTACATTTCATGTTTTCATCATTATGGGTTCGACTACTTTATGGTTGGTTCTCGGTTTAGAGTGGGTTTATGTTTTTTTTTTGCCTCAATTATTATGTTTTTATTTTACTCTGTTAGATTAATTTTATGCATAATGCAACAAGATACTCTTCTTAACATATTATCATCTAATGTTTCATTTTTGAGTTAAAAATATCATTGTTAGACGAAAACAATTAATCAACTGAGGGTCAATGCCTAAAACTAACTAAACAAGAACTGATAGAGGGAGATGATGATGCAGCGTGTTCAGGTCATAGAGGATGATGATGTGGCACTGTCACATCAGATATTTTTAAGAAAATAAAAATATCATAGTTAATATTTATATTAAATTATTTATAATCACTCAGAGAGTAACACTTTAATATCCCAAAACATCGGGTCAGTGACTAAAGTGTAAGAATTCAAAATTTAGTGGTTTAATTTTGATAAATTGAAATGTTCAAGGATTGATTTGGAATTTTTGTTTAGGATATATTATCAAAGATTGAATGATGAAAGGGAAAAATGGCATTTTCGCATGAAATGAATTTAAAATTCATTTTAATGTTATATTAACATGTGATGAAAAGGAGAAGAATAGCCTAGAAGTTGTCTCTTCATCTTCTCTTCTTGTCTTCCATCGTGAACTCCATTGCTAAGGAGAGTATTATTGAAGTTGGTTATTTCTTGAAGTTTTAAATGGTTTTGAGTTTTTGGGTGGTATAAAAAGCTTAACAAAGCTTAAAGATGATTAGAAGCTATGTGATTGATGAGTTAATGGTGATTTGGTAAAATGGGTTTTTAAGGGAGTTGATGAAAATTGATTAGTATTTAGATTTTAAAGATATATTTGACTTGTCAAAGGTATAAATAAGGTGTTTGAGGTATTAGAAAGGATTGGAAACATGTTTGAAGGATGGGTGTGATTTTTAGTTTTAAGTGTTCTAGTGAAACTTTTGGATGTTATAGGGAATTTAATTGATTTAAGTTGGTTGTGATAAATGTTATTGAGTTTAAGGGCATGAATTGAGTTAGAGGTATGAGATTTAGGTGAGTTTTGGTTCAAATTCGAAAAGCAATAAGTGAATTCTGGGCAAGAATATCGGTACTAGAAGAACAATATCGATATTGTATGAATAAGATGAACAGAATCGATACTGAAGGGGTAGTATCGATATTGTGGGTATCGATACCAATAGTAAGGTACTCATACTGTAATTGAAGAGAAAATTCCAAAATGTTAATTGGGTATTGATACTGAGGTAGGTATCGGTACGATAGAATGGATGTATCGGTACTGGGTGTAGAGTACCGTTGCTGTTCAGCCTGAAATTGTGAATTAGGTTTTATTTCGTTTATGTAAATGCTGATTGGTTACCAAATAATTGAGCTCCGTATTTATCTTGGTCATGTTAATGTGTAGATTTTGATCGAAAACAAGTATCAAACGAAGCGACGTAGTAAAGAGATTGAGCGAAAGTGAAAAGGATTTTGCTTAGTGTTTAAGTGAGGCAAAGGTGAGTGCATCTTACTTATTTATATTCGATATGAGGATGACTTGCGATGAGCCAACCTCGAAGGTTTTCGATAGAAAACAATTTGAATTATTTTATGAAATATCTTTATAATGTTTTACCTAAATATTTCAGAAGCACTGTTTTGATTTCTCCACTATGGGTATATGTGTTCTATGTGAATAAACGATCATTTTAATAATGTTATGTGGAATGTTTATATGGTTAAAGCCGAAAGTATGTGCTATGAGAATTAGAGATATAATTGGCATGCAAGAGTCGAGGGTTTATACGCGGTCGTTCGGGACAATTCATTGTGGTCCTTTGAGATAATTCGACGCGGTTTTCCAGAACAAATCTATGTGGCACTTCGGTGCATATTCTATGTAGCACTTCGGTGCAAATCTACGCGGCAGTTTCGATTGTAATTACAGTGTACAACCTCAAATTACTCACATACCTTGAGTTCTCTGTGATATACGTTGGGCTATTTAAACAACTTAATATGAATTGAACAGTGTATAACAATATATGTTATTTATAAGAAATGTATCTTGTTTTATGTATTCAATGTTTCTCCTGAAATGTTTAAGCAAATGTTTTATTGTTTTATTATGCTCATTTATGCCTCACTAAGTCAAAGGCTTAGTGTATGAGTGTTTTCACACGTAGGTTTAAAGAAGTCAATAAAGTAAAGCTAGATCTGGACGACATATATTTGGAGAATATCATATTAGACCAATTTGAACAATAGGCGATTTTGTTATTTTGAAATTTTGTTGGCATGTACTACAAATGTTTAAATCGCAAATGCTCTGATCTATTTTGTAACTATACTAGTTATGTTTTAAGTAAGATATATTAAATATTTATTTTCATTGTTTAATATTAATTTTGATTTTTAACTCATGTTAATGAAGGCTTTGCCACTAAATTAAAAAGTAAAATTTTAGTCAAATTTTCAAAGAGTCAAAGAGTTGAAAAGTCAATGTTACACCTCAGATTAGTATCTGGGTCGGGTATGCAACATTTTTTGGTATCAGAGCTAAGGTTTAACTGATTTTAGTCTTAAAACGAAGTAATTTATGTTTTAAAAGGTGTACATGCCAACAAAATATCAAAAATCTATGATCTGATAGTGTAATACGTATGTTGTCTTTGCTAATATAGTTAAGTGATTATATCTTAATATATGTCATACCACAGGGCTCTCGAAGTGAAGTAAGAGATGGAGTTAATGAGGGTAGTAGCAATTCACCTGCCCCAACTAGGCAAGGTGAAGAACAAGCGCCTCAAGGAGT